CTTGGAAATACATTAAATTAAATTTGGTTAATAAACTCTTTTTACTTGTCCGAAACCATAAACCTTCTTCATGGAAAAGAGTTTTGTGATGTCTTTAGAAAAGCATTTTGTACATATTATATTATATATATTATGAATAAATATATAGTTATTAGTTATTATGAATAATTGGTGTGTGGTGGGGAATATATTGTTAGAAGGGGAAAAGAAAAAAAGGAGAGTGTCCATACTTTTAGGGACAGTTATTAATTGGACATTTCACATCTCATTATACCAACAGGTGTGAACTTGGACCTTTCACACATTCATTTCTTCTTTCCATATTTGTTTTTCACTGCATCATTCAATTATATATACCTTTTGTTTAGGTTTAAGAGTTAAAAGGTTAAGTCTATTTCTCCAAATGGTTTAATTTTCTAATCATCACTTTCATTTATTTTGAATTTTCTTTTATTGGGATAGATCAGATTAATCACTTCTCATATATTATATAATATATAAGATCTGATTTTTCACTTACAATTCCTCTATTAAATCATTTAGTTCCTGGACTATTTACAACGAATATTCATTTCCGAAAATAAAATAAAATAAGAATGAAAAGATGATAAGAAAAAATAAAATAAAATAAAGAAGATAAGATACGCAGGCAGGCATCTGGATGAGTCCAAGTTGTAGTAATCAAAGTGTTTGTGTGTCACATGGGTGCAGTTACCGCCACAACGGCGTGTGTGAAAGCTACTTTAAAATAATGTCGACCACGTAGGACCATTTTCTTCGTTAAGAAACCATTAACCAAATCATTTTTTTAATACACATCTTTTCACACCTATGTAAATATCTCTAAAGTAAATACAACATCAACTTTATCTATCTAAAACAAATATCATATACTTCATTAACAACTGCTTATGCCACTTTACCTAATCAAGGATCTATACTTTTATATCCATAATTTTCATTTCTGAACTTTTAAGGAACATAAATGTTTTTGCTGAATGGGACCGGGGAAAGTTCCTGTTAACTCCGTCCGGAAACACTCTTCCTTCTCCGATAGGTCCTCCTCTTTTTGCTCTCCTCGCACTGGTTCTCAACGCAAATGGATTGACCTGCAGCAAACATTCTGACGATCAAGTCAGAATGGGCTGTTGCAAGTCTATAATTATCAAAAGAACAGAAAGTTCACCTTCTCCTTTGACTACTATTTATATAATTTCAGAGAATATTACTCATTAATTTATCTCTTAATGGCTTTCAATGCACATTTTAAATACTCGACAATGACCGTTACCTCATTAACTACACATTTATGAGCATTCAACTGCTGTCTCCAATCCACAATTTCATACGTCTGCCAGATCAGACATGTTGAGATGAAGAGTTCCGATCGGACTTATGAGGTTAGAACACCCGATCGGACATGTTAGCCTTGCTTCCACCCGCTCGGCCTTATCCAAACCTTCCCGATCGGTTGTCCGCCCTCGGTAGTAACAATAAATAATCTTAATTATTAGAAAATATATTATTAAAAAATAAAGACAAAATCTATACAAAAACATATATTTCAGTTTAAGGGATTAAGGTTAATTCCTTTCTCAAAAATATATACTGGTATAATTGCATATAACAAGATTTGTGATAGAAATAATAACATATATTATTTAGAAAATATTAATCATGTTTATAAAATCAACATAAATTATTAACCTATGTTTTGGTAGAAACAAGACATTTCACGTTATTAGAGAAAAAAAAAACAGAGAGTCCCGTGTGAACGTGAATTTGTAACAGTGTTCACAATGTCGGTAGGAGCAAGTAAACTTTAAAAAACAAAGACACAGTCCCACATGCGAACTTAACAAACAGAGTGTGCATTGGTCTCTTCTTCTGCCACTCCCACTTGATGACACTCATATTTTCATCATTACCCATTTATTATTGGTAATAAAAATAGAAAAAAAGAGAGCAAATAATAAAGCTAAAATTCCCTAGATTTTGTGTTAACCATACCATACCCCACACGAAAACAGGGGTAGAAAGATAAACACGGACACGAGGTTGTGGTGTTTGTGTTGTGTCTCTCTGTCACTGTTAGTCGTTTCTTCTTCTCTTCTTCTATATATTCAGATCCAGCTTTCCCTTTACTCTCAACTCTCAATTCTCTCAACTCTCAAACCAAAAATGACCAACTTTTCGATTCTCCTTCTCCTTGTTCTCTGCACCCTCCACAGTTGCTTCGCCGCCTCCAACCCCTCCAACTTCATAAAATCCTCCTGCAGCACCACCCAGTACCCCGCCCTCTGCGTGGAGTCGCTATCGGTGTACGCCGCCGCCATCCAGCAGGACCCTCACCAGCTCGTCCAGACGGCTCTCTCCCTGGCCCTCAACCGAACCGAGTCTACCAAAACCTTCGTGTCCAAATGTAACAAGTTCAGGGGTCTCAAGCCACGGGAGTACGCCGCCCTCAAAGACTGCGCGGAGGAAATCAGCGACAGCGTCGATCGGCTGTCACGGTCGCTGAAGGAGCTGAAGCTCTGCAAGGTTAACGGACAGGACTTCGCCTGGCACATCAGCAACGTGGAGACGTGGGTGAGCTCTGCGCTCACCGACGAGAGTACTTGCGGCGACGGCTTCGCCGGAAAGGCGCTCAGCGGCAAGATCAAGGACTCCATCAGGGGCAGAATGGTGAATGTTGCTCAGGTCACCAGCAATGCCCTCTCTCTCATCAACCAGTATGCTGCCAAACACTAAACCAAGTTTTTGTCTTTTTTTTTTTATGTTCTGAAAAAAAAACTGTTCTGTATGGTTTGATCGGGTGTTCTTTTTTGTGTTTCGTGTAATGTGTATGTAAAATCAAGTGAGCCAGTTTAAAAGTTTAAATAGATATATGAATTTTGTTATAATGTTGTTAAATAGATTGCTCGAACAGCATTGTAAGATCAAAACTGAGTTTGATCGAACATGAATGTTTTTCTGGTTTTCTCACTTCAAATTCGATCTCGATTACGATGTAAAACGGAATAATAATTATTATTTAAACAATTTAAATTGTAGTTTTATTGATCTAATAATAGTAATATAATAATAATTTAATAAGAGGAAATTCCGGACAGAAGGAAATGTTGGTCAGTAACACGCTTTCTCAGCGCGTAAAACTCAGTGGATTATGGATGAACGGCGTTCCGCGTACATTAGCTGTGAATTTGTGAAAAATTATTATCTAAAACAATTCAGAACAAAGAAAGAAGATTGATTGAAGTATAACAGTGAGAAGATTCTAGATTTATGACTTGGGGTTTTAATTTATTTTTGGAGGGAAAATTATAGTTGAGAAGGCACGATGTAAATAAGTCGTGGAAAAACTTATATAATAAATAAATAAAAATTTAATTGAATATCTTAAAATAATGAATTTGAATTCTTTTAATTATATAGTATTTGTCTTATTATTATATTATAGGAAATGTGTTATTTGAAAGTGAGTTTAAATTGTTAAGGTGTGCCCATAAGATTTAAGACGAAAATGTTAGCATGATGAAGCGTAAATTATGGATGAAAAAAATGAAATGGAAGTCTAAAATGTGAGCAATGAATACGGCAGAAGAAGAGGAAAAAAGAAGTAACTTAGTCTGAAATGATGAATTGTTCAAACGGAGCCTATAACGTTCCATCACACTAAATAATCTTACCTACTCACCTACTTTCTCTTCATCTTTATTGTACAATTTGCATTATGGTTATAAAATTTCAAGTTCTTTCTATTAAAATACCATGGTGGAGGACAGGTATGAATTTTAAGCTATTCTAAGATCTTTAGGTGAAGTGTTGTGGTGATAAAACATTACATTAAATGTCTTATTATGTTTATTTTTATATTCACTTGTGTTATGTTATTTAAGATAATTTTGTTCACATGAATCAATATAAGATTGAATGTTTTACAATTTAAAACTTTTTTACAATTTTATTTCTATAACATTCCAATTAAATAATATAAATAATACAAAAAAACAATCACATAATCAATAATATATTACAATTAAACATAAAGTCTCGTAACAGTTATATAAAATATAACTACAATTAAAACTTTATATACAAGTCAATATTTTTAAAACTATATATACATCGAGTTTTCTAAAACAACAAAAAGAAACACCTACAATAACATCTATGCATTTATGTTATATCCACCGAATATCTATTTCAAGGAAACATTATCTCTTTCTATTCATGCCCACCAGATGTCGTCAAAGAAATCAACATATATGAACAACCGACAAAAAATACAAAAGAAGTGTAAGTTAATGATAAAAAAAAGGCTTAATACCTGTTTTTGTCCCTCTTTCTAAGGGAAATGTTCACTTTCGTCCTACCTTTTTCAAAAAGTTCAATGTGGTCCCACGTTGTGAAAAAAGTGTTCAAGTTAATCCTTTTTGGTCACGGCGTTAAATATTTAACGATCCTGCTGCCAGCTAGGACTGATGTGTGCAACGTGGCTTTTTACCTGCGTAACGTGGCAATTGACGTGGCAGTGACTTGGAGAGAAATTGGTAATTTGGGATTTATCATCGTGGAGGAAGTGTCTTGAAATCTGAAGTCCCCCTTCGAAGTCCAGCCCTGGGACTCCGGATCCCTCCGCTTCAAGTTTGTCCTCGGCGGCGCGCCGCCCAGTCCCTGGGAGGACTTTCAGTCGAACCGCAAAACTCTCGGCGTCGTCGGCATCGTCCACTGTCCTTCCTCCTCCGATCTCGACGCTGCCGTCGACCTTTTCACCAATGTCTACAAGTCCTTCCCCTCTTCCCTTGTTGATCGCTGTTTCGCCTTCTGCCCTAACGATTCGCAGGTCGTGCTTCGCTTTCTTGTTCAATTTCTTATTTTCGTGTCGATTTGGTGAAGAAATGGGTAAAATACGAAATAATAACGTAATATTTCTTTGGTTTAATTTCCCACTGAGGGAATGGATTAGAAGAAAAGTAACTCAAGATGGTGGATTAATCTTTTAATTTTTTGTTTTGCATCTGGGTGAATTTTACTAAGTTCTTGACCGGAGCCTCAACTGTGGGAGGCATTGCCATTCCAAGCATATTGAAGCATGTTGAGCAGGTGATACTGCCATATTGTTTGCATCAATCAACGAGGCAGCTCCTGCAAAGATACTTTGAAAAGCTGCACCAGAAGTAGGGAGACCAGAAGTAACATTCTTTATGCTAGAGGAAGGAGGCTGAGATATTTTGATTGGGCCTAGCTTAATTGTATCTGAGACAAGTGATGCAGAAATATGGGTGCTATTGTCAGGTACAGGAGTTGGAGAAGCAATCCACGTTCCTCGGAGGGGTGTCTGGGATATCCAAGGTGTGTTAGGTCCAAGAAAGTTCCTTACAGGAGTAGTTTGATAAGGATGCAATGGAGTAATTGCCTGTGGATAATCCACAACAGAACCTCTTGCAAGGGCACTAGACTGCAGAGAATCACCACCTAAACCCAGAGTTGATAGACTCCAAAGGGGGGATGAAAGAGGTATTAAGGGGTTTACAATTGGTGGAGTAGCCTTGTTGCTGGTTCGACCAAGTGGTGAAGAGATACTTTTCCCTTGAATAGCACTTTGCTTAGGCAGCAAAACAGAGCTTTTAGCAACTGCAGATCTCAATTTCCAGGAGTTAATCAAACAAGTCAAATAACATCAAAGACAAGCTATATAACAAAAAATACCAGATCGTGGTTGCACAGGTGTTTCTGGGTTAGCAGGATGAGATTTTTGACCATGTTGCCTTTCCATGCAGGCACGCCAAGCATTCTCCCAAAGGTTCCTACCACCATCTAAACACAATGTCTAGGAACTCAATATTTATTTTGATCAAACAACAGTAAAGAACATGTCAGGGAGTCATGAAAACAAAAAAATAACCTGATCCCCCAAAGGCTGATATCATGTAAGCCCCATCCGGTACTGTGCCTTGACTACAGTAACATAAACAAGATAAATAAATAGCAAGTTATTTGTTATTCCAAAACATGCAGAACATTAATAACAATATCATGCAGATCTAAATGGACATGGTGACCTAAGCCTCAAATATCTTTTTATCACATAAGGAATATGTTTAAGTTCTACACAACAATTAAAAGAAAAGGGAAAAGTATACAAAGAACCAAGATTTTCCAACTTTTCAATTAACCATAGGAGTGTGGATGTTATGTGAAGTCTTAAGATAGTAAGCGAAAAAATGCAGATTTTGGATCCATAATCACATGCACACATATCATCCATAACAATTAAGATCTATACAATATTTGAACTCACATCAAAGCTCCATAGACAAAGATCTGTGCACGTAATTGTAAACTGCAACAAGACTTACTGATGATTTTTTTACTGTTTCAGTAACAGGAATTGATTGCATCTGGTCAGCCCCTTCTGTATTCACATATGCAACATCCTTTTTGGACAAATCAGTCACTGAATTTACCTCAGGAGTTGAGCTTCTTTCATTTTTAGATGAATTGTTCTCCTTTAGATCTTGAGCAGTAGACAACGTATCTTTTGAACTACCATTTATTCTAAATCGCTTGGGATAAGAGTTTTGCGGTTCGACTGAAAGTCCTCCCAGAGACTGGGCGCCGCCGAGGACAAACTTGAAGCGGAGGGATCCGGAGTCCCAGGGCTGGACTTCGAAGGGNTTAATTGAAAAGTTGGAAAATCTTGGTTCTTTGTATACTTTTCCCTTTTCTTTTAATTGTTGTGTAGAACTTAAACATATTCCTTATGTGATAAAAAGATATTTGAGGCTTAGGTCACCATGTCCATTTAGATCTGCATGATATTGTTATTAATGTTCTGCATGTTTTGGAATAACAAATAACTTGCTATTTATTTATCTTGTTTATGTTACTGTAGTCAAGGCACAGTACCGGATGGGGCTTACATGATATCAGCCTTTGGGGGATCAGGTTATTTTTTTGTTTTCATGACTCCCTGACATGTTCTTTACTGTTGTTTGATCAAAATAAATATTGAGTTCCTAGACATTGTGTTTAGATGGTGGTAGGAACCTTTGGGAGAATGCTTGGCGTGCCTGCATGGAAAGGCAACATGGTCAAAAATCTCATCCTGCTAACCCAGAAACACCTGTGCAACCACGATCTGGTATTTTTTGTTATATAGCTTGTCTTTGATGTTATTTGACTTGTTTGATTAACTCCTGGAAATTGAGATCTGCAGTTGCTAAAAGCTCTGTTTTGCTGCCTAAGCAAAGTGCTATTCAAGGGAAAAGTATCTCTTCACCACTTGGTCGAACCAGCAACAAGGCTACTCCACCAATTGTAAACCCCTTAATACCTCTTTCATCCCCCCTTTGGAGTCTATCAACTCTGGGTTTAGGTGGTGATTCTCTGCAGTCTAGTGCCCTTGCAAGAGGTTCTGTTGTGGATTATCCACAGGCAATTACTCCATTGCATCCTTATCAAACTACTCCTGTAAGGAACTTTCTTGGACCTAACACACCTTGGATATCCCAGACACCCCTCCGAGGAACGTGGATTGCTTCTCCAACTCCTGTACCTGACAATAGCACCCATATTTCTGCATCACTTGTCTCAGATACAATTAAGCTAGGCCCAATCAAAATATCTCAGCCTCCTTCCTCTAGCATAAAGAATGTTACTTCTGGTCTCCCTACTTCTGGTGCAGCTTTTCAAAGTATCTTTGCAGGAGCTGCCTCGTTGATTGATGCAAACAATATGGCAGTATCACCTGCTCAACATGCTTCAATATGCTTGGAATGGCAATGCCTCCCACAGTTGAGGCTCCGGTCAAGAACTTAGTAAAATTCACCCAGATGCAAAACAAAAAATTAAAAGATTAATCCACCATCTTGAGTTACTTTTCTTCTAATCCATTCCCTCAGTGGGAAATTAAACCAAAGAAATATTACGTTATTATTTCGTATTTTACCCATTTCTTCACCAAATCGACACGAAAATAAGAAATTGAACAAGAAAGCGAAGCACGACCTGCGAATCGTTAGGGCAGAAGGCGAAACAGCGATCAACAAGGGAAGAGGGGAAGGACTTGCAGACATTGGTGAAAAGGTCGACGGCAGCGTCGAGATCGGAGGAGGAAAGACAATGGACGATGCCGACGACGCCGAGAGTTTTGCGGTTCGACTGAAAGTCCTCCCAGGGACTGGGCGGCGCGCCGCCGAGGACAAACTTGAAGAGGAGGGATCCGGAGTCCCAGGGCTGGACTTCGAAGGGGGACTTCAGATTTCAAGACACTTTCTCCACGATGATAAATCCCAAATTACCAATTTCTCTCCAAGTCACTGCCACGTCAACTGCCACGTTACGCAGGTAAAAAGCCACGTTGCACACATCAGTCCTAGCTGGCAGCAGGACCGTTAAATATTTAACGCCGTGACCAAAAAGGATTAACTTGAACACTTTTTTCACAACGTGAGACCACATTGAACTTTTTGAAAAAGGTAGGACGAAAGTGAACATTTCCCTTAGAAAGAGGGACAAAAACAGGTATTAAGCCTAAAAAAAATTAAAGCTACCACATAAGTTTAGTCTATTAAAACACCCTTTGCCAAATAGAGAAAGATCCTTAGCTAGGACCTCCAGCTACTATCACCATATGACTCGCCTCTCTATTTGAGAATGAATGATCATTAGAGTGTCAGAAAAACCTCCAAAATTGAACTTCCTACATTCATGCCAACAACACTTTGATACAACCACTAAGAATTCTCCTTAAAACTCTTACAAACCTCAATTTCATGCCATCATGTATTTCAAACCATATTATTGAGTATTAGGTAAGTTATCACACCATTTAAACCCAAACACAAAAAGAAAAGAGCAAGTAAAACCACAAAGATAACCCAAACCCACTCGCCCAACACCATAAGCACAACGCACAACGATCCAAACCACTCGCTAGCGAGAGCTCAAACAAAGAGCTTTTTCCAACCCAATGAGTTGGCTTACCTAGCCTCTGAAAACCTGATGTCAAAACACCCCAAATACTCGCCCAACGAGCACTGGTTCGCCTAATCACTCTGTATAATTATGTAGAACATCAACTTTGTAGACTTTGCACCTTTCAAACTCACATGACTTATCTTAGGCACTCCTACCAACTTGTACCACTTCCATTTGGTATTATAAATCTCAATTGACTTATCCAAGAGTATGTACCATAATTCAAACCCTTTTTAAACTCATTTTACCATGAAATCCAAAACTAAATTAAACTGAACATCCATTATACCTCAAATCAATTCTACCTATTTTAATACCTAGCTTAGTAACTTAGGGGTCTGGATAAGTCCAAAATGACTTAAAAGCAGACCCCAACCACTTCTTTTGTTTTAGTCCTTTAACTTCAAACACGTACTACTGAAAACCTCTAAAATGCACTTAAAATCATTCTTAGACACAACCAAAAGATCACCACCTTATTCTAAATCACATATCTACTAATTCACAAGTCAAATAAGTCTCAAATGAGCATTAAACAAATCCTAAATAATCACTTCTCCCCTTAGATAATTATTTCTAAAGCCCACTTATCCAAATTTTCATTTTAAACCAAACATTGACCTATAACTCAGCCTAACCTTCTCTTCTCAATATATCAATAAATTTGACAACACCAACCTTTACAAACACAAAATTCATAACCATGAACAAGTCTGAATAGAATCATCAAAGTCTACACAAGTCATTCACATAATTAAGCATCAATTAGCTAATTACAAACAATTAAAATCACAATTTATACTAAGACATATATTCTCATTTCAACCAAGTCAACATAACCTACTAACAACGATCATACATATCAAACAAAAAAAATGGAATCATGTTAAGATAAAATCATCTATACGTCTAAACGCTTTCATGTTTTGAAGTTTAACCAAATAATATTAAACGAAATAAGAATCTGAAAATACCATAGGATGAAACAAGAGACTTAGGCTCAAAATCCCCAACATAGAAAAGCCTTAGGAAAACTCTTAGAATTATAAAAAACATAAGAACACCCAAATCAAAATACCTAGACGCAATGTTAAACAACTCATAAGTCAAAGCGTCTAAGAGAGTTATGCTAAACGTGTAAACTTACTATACTTAAGGGGTATTCAATTGAACTCTCAGGAAAACAAAGAAGTATCAAGATAGTGTCTTCGCAGAAACACTCTAAAAGCCTAAACATAAAACACAAAAGAAAACATAACATACTAAATGATAAATGCTTTGAAAAGGAAAAATCACAAAAAGCGTTATATCAGTCCAGACGATACCATGGGATAACTTTTTTGTTCTGAGCTAGCATTAAATGACACTAAATGCTTAATGTTCAGAAACAAAAAAAGTGATAAGAGATAAGACATATATGCTTCATACACAATCTACTATATTCTTTACAGATAGCCCACTCTACACGCATCCATATGCTTCATTTAAAAATCAGAAATGGACGTTAGAGACAAAAAAATATATTCACGAAATTTTCTTCACTTGAGAAGCGATGTCTAAAAAGAAGTACAACCTACTTTAAGCAAAGTACTGAAAATGCTAGCTTGCTATAACAGGTTGACTTTAACGAACGACTATAGTACACGAAGAAAGAGAAGACACAAGAATCAAGGCCAAGAGCTGGCCTATAAATAAAAGATCATTCAAATGAAGAATCCAGAGAATAACATACAACAAAAATATTCATCCTAAGAAAAACGATCAAAAGAAAAGTACATAAAAGCTCAAGAAAAAGAAAATATATGAGTAAAAGAAAAGAAAAGAAGTCACGCAGTACTTTCGAGCTTCATTGTAATATTTGCTTTATTGTAGAAAGGAGAGAAAGAACAAGAACACATGCAGTGGTTAGACGACATTATTGTATCACATCTCTCCCTGAAGAGTAATAGGTTTGACGAAGTGTAAAAGAGTTGAGTGGCATGGGAAGAGGAATGAAACAAGAGTTTGAACGTTGTGGAGTAAGGAACTCTTAAACAGTTTGTCTAGCACCAGGAGTGGGGTGCAAGTACGCATCCAGTCTATATAATAAAGGTATGTGTTGGCGAAGAAACCAGGAGTGGTGCGAATGCTCATCGAGTGTAGGTAGAGAGTTATGTGTTGACGGAGAATCTCAAGAGTGTTAGACCATTTTAAAATCTGTGAAGATGAGAAGTGAACCCTCTGCGGAGGAGACTTGACGGACTCATTTTAAGCGGACCCAGTAATAAAAAGACTTGTGCAAGGTTTTTTTACTTGTTTGCTTAAACATTTTTCTTAAAAACCGACACCTGCATTTGTTTCATACACATGTACCGGCCCC